CTACTTGGATGCTCGGTCATGGCTCGAAGTCCACGCGGAGAAGTATGCGGAAGCAAATCCCATGACCGGCCAAATGGTGTTGCCGTTTGGACGGAAGTCTGACTACTACCACATGTACTGTTGGGAGCGCTCTCAGGAAGTGCTGAGCCATTTGGATGGGGAGTATGCTTCCCAACAAACATTTCTCCAAGCATGGCGATGTGAACCTCAGTTCTTGTTGGCCCCCTCTTGCTCCACATGCTGTCCATGTCTTTTTGTGTACCTGGTCATGGATACTTCACATGCTGTGGCACCAATGTTTCATGTTCCCCTCATGATCTCCCTGCCCCAGGAATGCTTCCATGTTGTCATTGCCTCACGCACCAGTATGTTTGTGGCCTGCCAAGTGTGCAAGTTCCTGCAGGGCATGATTGCATCCACATCTAGGCAGCATTCTGAAGTGCTTGATGCTCTGAAGCTTCGTCTTGGGAGGCATTATGCTTTCCAAGCAAGCCAGCGCTTGGCTGACGAACGTCTCATGGAGCAGGCACGTCGGTCAGACAATGCCGAGTGGTAGCTCGAATTGAAGTTCAGGCCCAAGAAACAAAACTCAAGCCTTTCTAGTCAACGTTCTTTCTGTCTCTGGTGATTGAATCACCCAAGGCACTTGCAAGTGGACAAGATGGACCAAACAAAGACCAATCTGCCGTGCATCCACAGCCTGTGGCCTTGCCTCATTACATCTGGAATTGTCATTAGCATGGCATGTTTAGCTTTGGTGTCCATCAGTCATGGGACATGTGCATGTTGCCATGGAACATGTGCATGAATGTTGTCATGGAGCAAGTGCATGTTGTCATGGGACATGTGCATGCATGTTGCCATGGAACATGTTGTCATGGAGCAAGTGCATGTTGTCATGGGACATGTGCATGCATGTTGTCATGGAGCATGTTGTCATGGAGCAAGTGCATGTTGTCATGGGACATGTGCATGCATGTTGTCATGGAGCATGTTGTCATGGAGCAAGTGCATGTTGTCATGGGACATGTGCATGCATGTTGTCATGGAGCATGTTGTCATGGAGCAAGTGCATGTTGCCATGGAACATGTGCATTGGCCATCCCAGGCGTTCAACCCCGCTGATGAAGACCGGGTTCGTGCTCGTCATCGGGCTGGTCGCGACCATTTGGTCAGGAACTCCGGACGACACAGTTGGCCTCACCTCACTGTATGAGGGAGATTCCAAGCACGGGGCCAACATGCAGGGAAGTCTCTTGTTCCAGGCTTTCCACCGGAAAGTCATGGACACCGGCGTGGTGCCGGAAGCTTTGACAATCAGTGCCGATAACACCCCCAAGGACTAGTTGGGGATCTAAAGTTTTCTCCCAGCTTGCTTGGAACAATGGTTCTGTCTTGTTTTGACTCCCACCGCTTTTGGTTGACACTATTATGCCTCTTCCTTCAACCACGGCTGCAGGAAACTAAAAACAGCATTGTCTACTCTGCCTGTGTATGGCTGTTGTGTGCCCTACACCAGACACGGTTTTGGAGGATCCGCACCGTGTACAAGCTTGTTGGGCACACACACAGCCACTGTGACAGGGTCTTCAGTCGCATCAAGGCGTCGCTGATGGGAAAGAGTTACATCAGCGAAGATGACATGAAACAAATCATTGTGTCCACCCTTAAGTCCTACAAAATGGAGTGGGACCACCTGCACGCCTCCCTGGACTTTGAAGCCTTGAAAACTTTGCTGGGATTGGACATTCACCACCTGAGAAATGTTCACGATCTGGAAATTTTCCGCACCACGGGCGGGGTCTTTGTGCGCTGGAAGCAATATATCAGTGATGAACTGTGGAGCCGTCCCCGACTGGTGGTGGCGCCGGAGAACATTGCGACGGTGGCACAAGCCAGGCCGCCCCATGTGAAGCACAAGTTCACGGATGAAGCGAAGGCAAAGTTCAGTGACTTTTTGTCTAAACTTGAAATCCAGCTGGGCTCGATGAACCTTTTGGATGATCATGTGCGAGCTGGCATGGCTTGGCTGAAGCAGGTGACCCAGTTTGACACTGACTTCACAATGCCAGTTGACAGGATGTTGGGTGACATCATGCATGGCGGAGCACCACGTGGATGTCGCTTGGAGTCTTCCGCGATTGTCCCTGATGACATGCTCCTTCTCAACTGTCCAGGACCTTGTGTGCCACACATGGAGTTGCCATGTCTGCCATGTCTGTTTCACAAACTGGGTATGGGGTGATTATGATGGGGTATGGGTTGGCCAGTGCATGCCATTGATTGCTATGTCTGTTCCAGAAACTTCTGGTATTAATGTTTTATGCCACATGTTGCATGTTTGTCATGCCACTGCCAATGCATGCCATGCAGTATAGTTTTGTTTGCCGCCGTGTTTGTTCCAAGTACATGTGTATCGGTATAGAAGGGTTTCATGTTTGTTGGTCATCTTGCTTTCCCATCCCTTTGAAGGAGCGGACATGCCTGGGATGCCTCTGGAGAGTTTGGTGCAGCTTGGCACCGTGGGAGATTCTGACCCAGCCATGGATGCTTCGTGTTGTGTTGGTGATTTCGTCATCACCTTGAATGACTCGAAGGCGCTCCCCTTTGTCATGGGCCAGGTGGTGGATGTCGATGGTGACTCGGGAATAGTTCAGTGGTGGCACCCGGGAAAATCAAAAGAAGCCAACCTCAAAGCTGGTAGAAAGAAGGCGATCCTGGATTTGTTTGGTGGATGGCAGCCCACAACTGACATTCCTGTTGGCGAACTCGAGCCCTTGCCGCCATCGGTGGTGAGTCCTGCACGAATCAGGATTTGGGGGTTCACCTTGGACTCGGGGGACCAAATTCCATTCTCCATCCTGGATAAAGTCCAGGGAGAGCTGGATATAGACCTGACTGGATTGAAAATGTCCAGCACACAGCGGGGAGCCTTGTACCGTGCTCACAGGCTCATGCGGACGACGGGATGATGCTGGCCAATTGGAAAAAATTGGCCAGCCCAATTGGCCAGCCCAATTGGCCAGCCCATGCTTGCCACACATGGAGTTTCATGTTTGTCATCCATGGAGTTTGACCATGCTTGCCATGTTAGGGACCGTGGGTATTCATGTTTGTTGGCCATGTTTCCCATGTGTGTCATGTTTGAGTCATGGTTTCGTTTACCACCATGGACTTGCATGCCTGTCATGGGTGTCCCAAATTCATGCAACATTAACACTAGCCCACTGTCCGACCCCACGCAGGAATGCCAAAGAAGAAAGATGAGTCCCCTGATCAGCGAGACTTCAAGAAAGAAGTCAAGAAATTTGTAAAAAACTTGATGGAGGAATCGGACCCCAAAGCTTTATCGCTCCAAGATGTGAGGGAAGCTGTCAAAAAAGAGTTGTTGAAGGGAGAAGAACCCAAAAATGTGGCAATGTTCAATGCCATTGTAGATTCCACCGTTTCACATTTTCACCGCAAGGATAGAGAGGCGGCCAGTACTTCGAAACCGAAAGGAGTTTTGAAACCAATCTTCAAGAAATGAATGGTTGAAAATGAGTTGGGAGCATGACCTGCTTCATGTGGAGCTTGTCATGTCATGGTCACAGATGGGAACATGGCATGATGTGCCATGACCATGGCATGTCCATGTATGACATGTCATGTCTGAACACGGGATGTCTTGCCATGACCGTGGCATCATGTCCATGTATGACATGTCATGGAATTTGCATGAAAGACGTGCCATGCCTGTGTCATCATACATGTCCAAGGGGACATGGGGGGCTTTTGGGCGGGCAGGTCTGGGGGGGGGGGCTCAGCATCAAAAAAGTTGTGGCATCAATTTTAACAAATTTCTTCATATGGTTTTATCGCCTATCTTTGGTTTAACATGGCCAAAGCACCCAAAATACTGTATTGAGATCTTGACATGTGGGGGTGGGTCAAAACTGGACACCTAAAACTTCGTTAAACGCATCCTTTTCCAAAATCACCAAAAACATGTGTTTTTTGGCGCCTCCGATTCTGACCCAGCCATCTCTTGACCCACCCCAGTGGGCTGGGCCGCGACACCATCTAGGCAGAATGAGCCCACATAGTTGGGGCTGACCTCAGCGACAGCCGTGGGATTTCAAGCAACAAAGAAGGATGGTAGCTGGACGTAAAACATTCAGCAACACGCGTGGTGGCTGAACTCCAAGCATACCCATTCCATCCCATACCTGTCAGGTAAGTGTTGAAAAATTGAGCCCATGAAACCATTCTTAGTGCTCCAGGTTGATGGAACTATGAATTTGGAGATCATCACCCAAGTTTGAAAGAACAAGACTTACATAATCCCACTTTCAAGCCGTGTGAAACTTGAAGGATTGCAATTTTCAATACATTCAAAATTTGAACATAGAACAACACGTGTTTCAGTTTGTCTGACAATGGGGTACCCCTCAAGCCATATCAAACCCGATGATCAGATTTTCAGTTGTTCCCCAAACAAATATGTATATTAGCCATTGGGAAATAAATCTATCCTGCATCCTCAAACGCTCAAGCTAAACCTGTCTGTAGTCTGTTTAGGCTATTGCCCATTTTTCCCAGGGTAGCACCAGAAATGTCATTGCTGGACAGCATGAATTACACAACCATCAACATGCACAAAAAACATGCATACACAAACCACCAAAACGGATTCAAAAACACTCCAAACGGAATCAAAATCGATCAATCAGACTCAAATCCACAAAAGTGTCTGTTTACATCATTGTGATTATCTTCCAAAACAAGGTTTGGTTCGTTCTGTTTAGACAAGCTTCCCCCTACCCAACATCTCACAGTGTTATTTCTTCAAATGCTCAGATGGTTCAATTGATCAGAACGCACACTAAAAGAAATAAGGCAAACCGAAACGCACCAAAAAAATGGTCAGTGAAACTTCAGGTTGCATACCACTGAATTGATTATGTATGTTGAATTATACGATTCTCACAATTCCATAACCAAATCTTCCCCAATCTCATTCATTTTCCATTGTTCCCCTGGGCCCTGACAGGGTAGCCATTGTAGCTGGAGCCGCGAGCGTCCAAGGTCTCTTCCAAAAAGGGACCCTTGGGATCCTTGCGGAAAAGCTGGAGGATTGAGATTTTTTTTCCCGGAAATTAGAGGAATGTGAACATGAAAATGCCTGTAAGTTTTTTGTGAGGCTTTGAAGGAACAAATACGGTTGCAACCCTTGGATTCGCAATAATTTGCACTTGTTTATAGGGGTAAACCGTAAACCTCAAAACCCTGGCAAAGAAACACACAACCAAAAAGAAAAAATGTTTGAAATTTGAAATGAAATTGTTGGTTGACATCCCTATGGTTTTTGGTTTAGTTATGCTGGATATGGATGCACATATGTTTATGTTGACATCCCTTGATTTTCTGGGTTTGAACATGATGGTTCTGGATGTGAACAACCGACAAACAAAACATGTTTTTTGTTTTTTCACATCAATTACAGGGTGGTTTTGTAACATGTCCGTTGAACCAGTCCAATGAGGTTTTTGTTTGCGTTCTGAAAATTCCCAAATTTGTTGGTTGATTTCCCAATTAATCTACAAATAAATTCTCAACAAGTGACAATGACCGGGGTGGGTTATGATGATGGATGGCATAGTGATGGATGGATGTCTTGCGATTCGTTTCGATGTGTTTCAAAAATCAATGTTGCACGCGGGATCGAATCAAACATATGTTGGGTCGTGTTTGGTTGTGATTTGTGGGAATTGGGCCTTTGTTGTCTTTTGCGCCATGGTATTGCAAATGACAAACATCAATGTTATGGTGAAAAATGAAAACGCGGCTGGCATGGATTGAAAACGGTGATGGTTACGGTGGTGATCATGGTGGTGATGATGATGTCGTTGCTGCTGATGATGGTGATGATGATGTTGGTGATGATGGTGATGATATATGAAGATGGTGTGGATGATGATGATGCTGCTGATGATGATGATGATGATGACGACGATGATTTTGATGATGAAGCTGAAAATGATGAAGATCACGAAAATGGAGATGAAGATGAAGATGCAGATGATGATGATGGTGATGATGACGATGATGGTGATGATGATGATGATGATGATGATGATGATGGTGATGGTGATGCCGGTGATGATGACGATCATGATGATGATGAAGATGATGATGATGTCGGTGGTAATGATGTCGGTGATGATGACGATGATGATGATGATGATAATGGCGATGATGCAATGATTAAAACTGTGATTGTTGCTTTGCTTTGATGATTGTCATGACGGTCCATGAGATGGATGCATGCTGCAGATGACTTCCAGCTGCAATTCATTAAAAACGGTGTGTCCTGCCTATTTACCTTCACCTCCATCTTCATTGTTATTCATGACTCATGACCCACTTCCTTGCCCTAACATGTTCAATTTTGGAAACCTGTATAGAGATTGAAGTGATCAAAGAACACGATCACATGAAATGAATTGGGACTGGTTTGGGGCGCAGTATTGAGTCATTATATGCGGCAACCTTTAACCTCCAATCCCAAGTGCCCTGCTGATGCCACGCTGAAGCAATTGTGCATACCTCTTACTCCATGCCATTGGCCGGGGCTCCGCGCCCGCCAGTTCCAACATTGTTCCCTGCCGTCCGTGGAAGGCTCAGATCGAAGCACTCGGGCCTCAGTTTGCGCGGAAGGGGTTTTGGCAAAATCAATGAACAAACCCACAGGAAATTCTGTGTTGAATTGCTGCAAAATCCTGGACATGGTTTCAGGTTCCCAGCAAGCTTCCGATTTATGGCCGAACTCCAGGGCCAAGTTAAGTAGTCCTGCCACGTTTGCATGTATAGGCTCTGGGTGGCCCATCGGTTCTGTGAAAGACGCTCTGTCTGAGTTAAAACAAGAGGGGCGCCAACATGAAACTACCTGATTTGCACAACCGGCCGCCACATGAGATGCAATTCCGCCCCTTCAAAAACAAAAAAAACTGCCCAAACTCAAAAAAACTTACTTGGAGCTGAACCCCATGTCTGCTACTGACATCAAACTAGTGTTGCCGCTGTCTCCTCCACCACTTTGCTCAAGAACTGGGCAGCGCTTTCGCTTGGATCAGCACCTCCGGAGCGCAGTGCGTCATCATCCAAGCGCTGGTAGCGCAGGGCGCTGGAAGCCCGGCAGCCAATATGCACAACATGAGTCAAATCCAAAACCTTCTCAAATTCTATAGTTGCGCCCGCTGCTTCGCGCATTTATTAGCCGCCCTGTCCCCCCCTTTCTTGCCTTTCATTTGCATAAACCGTGGCAGCAAGATATTGCAATTTTGCATTTTGTTCATTTTCTTTTTGGTTTGTCGTGTATGCTGTTCAAAAACATTTTTTTTGCAAGCGAAGGATTGGCCGCAAATTATTGCATTTTTTTGTTGGTTTGTCGTGTATGCTTTTCAAAAGAAGGTTGCAAAAAAATGCATGTGTTAATTTGTTTTTTTGCTGTTTGTCGTATATGCTTTTCAAACAATTTTTTACAAGCGGGTTGCAGCAACATCTTGCTTTGGTACAAACCAGTCCATGCAAGCAACCCGTCCCTAGCAACAATCCGGCCAGTAGTCATGCGAGTGGGGCGCCTGTTCTGGATTGCGGCATCAGAATGCTTAGGAAGTCATCGAACCGCCCCGTTAAACAGGTGTAATGTTGTCCGTCAGGAAATAGTCCAGTTGCATACTAGAACCTGCACCTTCTCCAACTCTCATTCCCAGTATGATGGCCCTACCAAATGTAAGTTAGTCTATGAGGAAACCACAGTAGCAGCCGTGTAGGAGTTGATTTGGATGATGTGGCTCCACTTTTATGTGGTAGGGCCCCCTTGCCCAGGAAATAGAATGATCACGGAAACGCACGGACTTAACCTGTAGGTCTGCAATCATTCCAAATAGAGCTTGGAAGTTCCAGAGATCTCGAGGGAAATCGGAAGGCACTTGATATCATGTTTGCAGTTGCCAGTTTAGACGGCACACATCAGTAGTTATGTTGTCTTCCAATTTCATGCACAACTTCTACTCAAGTTAGGATTGCATCCAGAAACACGGGGCTCAGTGTGGCACACATTTGCTATCAACCTCTTGATCCTCTTGGCCGTGAAACTGCACCTTCAACCAGTGTAAAAAGGACGTATTGTCGATGGAATGCAGCAGCATCCAGCAACCCTCAAGGACTTTGGGTCTCTCTGGAAGTCCACTTAGGTTCGATGGATAAATCCCTTGCCCAGTTCTGGTTCCTAAAGCCCGTCCCTGGAACCAGAAACGCAGATCAACAGGTCCATGGGTTTTTTGTTCTTGTAGTGTATGGAATTAGACTGGAGACAATGCTACTGGAAACAAACCAAAATGTGCACATAACTGCTACTTGTACGCTTTTTCCGCCCCGTAGGCAAGAACTAGGCATTCAACCAGTTGTCAGCTGGCCCTTCATATCTAGAATCGAGTTGTACATGCAGCCTGCAGCTATGAAATCACAAAATAATTCCATTTCTTCCTTCAAATCATGTTCAAGGGATCATATAGAGCTAGTAAAGGGACACAAACATATCTCAAAAATAAGTGAGTGAGATAGGTCTGCTCACAGCAAACGGGCACACGGGCACATGGGCACACAGGCACACAGGCAATCCACGGGCACACGGGCACACGGGCACCCGGGCACACAGCCAGATCACGGGCGCACACGGGCACACGGGCACACGGGCAATGGACCGGCACTCGGGCACCCGGGCACGGGCACACAGTCAATCCACGGGCACGCGGGCACAGGACTCAAAGAAACTCAGGTAACATGACGGAATAACAACATTGCAGCGGAATAACGGCGAGCCCACAGGAATCTACGGTATAGACGGGGCCAAAACGGCACATGTGGAAATTAACTTAAGATCAAGGCAAAACAACGACATTAAGCTGCACGCAAACAACACGGCAAGGACAGCGACATGCCATCTACAGCAGACGGCGCCGAAACGCCGCATGTCGAAATTAACATAACATCAAGGCATCACAGACAGCGGAACAAAGCTGCATGCAAACAACAAGGCAACCACATGGTCATGCAACAAGAAGGAACGTTAAACAAACACCAAGGTCTACTACGACGGGCAACGAGCTCATAATGCTGCTATGACATCACGCTGCGGCAACTGGTTGACACACAGACAGACAGACAGACAGACAGACAGACAGACAGATAGACAGGCAGACAAACAAATAGATAGATAGATAGGTAGGTAGATAGAAAGACAGACACACAGACATATAATGACATATAGATATATGGGCAAAAGGATAAATCGATAAGTACAAAGGGAGAGGGAGATACAAATAGAGAGAGAGAGAAAGAGAGAGAGAGAGAGAGAGAAAGAGAGAGAGAGAGAGAGATTGAGAAAGAGAGAGAGAGAGAGGGAGAGAGAGGGAGAGAGAGGGAGAGAGAGAGAGAAAGAGAGATCAATACACAAATAGACGGGCACACGGGCACAGCAGGACATCGTCATGACATGCCAGCTGAGGTGGAGGATGATAATGTTGAGGATGATGATGTCAAGGGAGAGGAAAATGATGATGTTGATGTTGATGTTGAGGAGGAAGACGTTGATGTTGAGGAGGATGATGTCGAGGAGGAAGACCGATGAGCCCAGAACGCAGACATACACTTTGTGCGAGCCTGCGCAGTCGAAATGCACTTCAACATGTCACAAGAGCCACACCATACGGAAATTTAATGAAATTTACAGGTAAAATGCCGCAGACCAGAGTGAGCACCCAGATCAGGCACCGGCCTTTACACCTACCGGAAGAACCCCTCAGTGTGGACAAACTGTTTGGGGAATCAAGAGACAGACTGCAACTGCCTGCAAGCATGTCACTTCTGGACTGTACAAAGTCTGTGTAACACTTAGGCAGCATGCACCCAGCACGTCGCTGGCCCGGGCACACGGGCACCCGGGCACAACTCCGATCCACGGGCACACGGGCACACAGGCACCCGGGCACAACCCCGATCCACGGGCACACGGGCACACGGGCACAGGCCAACAGAAGACTGCCCTCAAATAAGTTTGGTATAAAATATTTAAATATCTTCATTGTCTCGACATCCTGAATGTCTCCTTACAAAGAGAGTACAGTGTGTACGACTGGGGCATTCATACAGATGACACTGAAACATGCTTGAGCAGATTCACTCAACAACTCGCAACCAACGAGGCCCCGACACAAGGCCAAGACCCATGGGTTTCCGGCAGATTTTCCTTTGGAAAATCATCAGTGATTACAGTTTCCCTAGCAGGAAGCCAAAGTCTAAGCAAAAACACAAGAAGGTGATGCTCTGGAACAGATCAAGATATGGGTGACATAGGTACATATCTGTACATGTGTTGTTTTAATAATGTAATATTACTTTTGTGTTTCAAGATACATGTCCACTTTCCCCCTCATGAAAAGGAGTACAAGTGCCACAGCAATTCACCCATTTCCGGCCGCCTCGAGAAATGGCTTTGGACAGAAAGAACCTGGATAGCAGAAGTGACTCCGCAAATCTGTGGATGGTGGAAAAGAATTCAATTCATGCGGTTGTGATAGGTTTCACAAGAGTTTGGACATGTTTTGTAGTCGCCTTTGTTTTGAGAGCAATTATGCGAGCAAAAAAGGTGCCTCATCAAGCAAACCGTATCATTACCATATTCTCCACACAGCTTCTCTTTATTTCTCTTTCAATGTATCCAACTTCGCGACCTAGTCTCCAACGAACCATGATCAAAACTCCTGACGGACCATGATGGGCTCTAAAAAATATACATGGCCAGAGATTGCTCCTTTTTCATGAGGATGTACTGTTCCATCTTTATGTTTAACTTCTACACAGCGTAATTATACGGGCTTGTCCGAAAATAGGGTACCCCTTTACATTGATGGTTTACCATCATTTACCATATTCAATTGGTTATTTGGTAAATCATCAATTGGTTATTTGATGTTATTTGGTTATTATTTACCATTAACATTTGGTATTCATATTGACTATTGATGGTTATTTGGGGGTCTATACCCAATTTTCAGACACACCCATACGAAACAAAGATCATCATGACAGGCGGGCGCTTCGTCGGGGTCCCAAGCCCCAGAAAGTGACAGGCAGCGGCGGCCACTTTCCCAGGATGCGTCGTGCGCGAGGATTCCTCACCTCAGCAGGGTCCAGAAGATACTATATGGGATGTGTTTTTTATTGGTGGTCTAAGGGCGTTTACCCTCCAGTAAACGAACATAAGCTATGGAACATGGATCATTTATAGATGATGTACCTATTAAACTAGTGATTTTCCATAATGTCAACCCCGGATTTATAAACCATGGTTTATTAAGTAGGGGGGTACTCCCCCAATAGTAATCTGATACTTCAATGGTACCATCCCAATTAAACAGCCTAGGGGTTTATTAATCCAGGGTTGACATTATGGGGGATACCGGGATACTTATTGAATATTTATGAACAATATGAGAAATGAGGGATATGAATATTGTTGCTTATAAATATGAGGGATTCATAACCAAATATGACCAGAAGATATCTATGAACATGAATAATGGAATACTGTGCTATACTTATAGTCAACTTGGGGTCTTTGATGACAAAGGGGGTTGATGGCCAATTTCATAGGGAAAATATGTGAGCATGATGTTTTGAACCATAAAACATTGGGGCTGGCCTATTTCCTGACAAAAACCCCTGATCGGAGACGGAAAAAACTCTGGGACTCAAGCCATGGATCCATTGAAATATTCACACGAAAATCATAGTTCATCAAATGAGATGGGAAGACCCATGGATCAAAAATTCACAAACATGGTAATTTCCATTAAAGTAATCTTCCAGACCATGGATTTGTGGTTCAATGTTAGTTTTCATGAATCAATGAAGGTACATACCATGGAAAAATAATTGAAACAAATCCTAAAATTTCCCCGCTTAGAATCACGTTATTTTTACTGATATACGCGTCGCTCAAACTTAAAGGCGCCTATGGATATTCTATGGACCCACAAAATCGGTCCTTTCGATATCAAAACAACTACATTTGGGGATCAATAGTTGTGAGCCGTACCCTAGCTTTGACCATACGCATAACATCCCATAATCATACCCATACCGGGTGATGTCGGCACGGTTTGAATTCATGCTATAGAAATACCATAAACTATTTTTCTCAGACTCAAACATGTCCTTTGAATCCTATTGCTCAATAAAATCTATCATAGACCACCATAGACATCCTACAGCATCAAAACAGTGTATATATATATACATAATTTCTTAAAGCCCCTAGAAGTCACCAGATCTTACGTCAGTAGCAGCTGTTCATCTCCGGCCCCGACTCAGAGCCGCAGCCTGGGTGCAGGTGCGTTAAAAAATCTGGCAATGGGGGTATCAAAAAGAACATACGTACACACAAATTATTATTGTAAAAATACATGTGCAATAACAAAAGAAATGCTCATTATGTAAGAATAATGTTCTTCAATATCCGGTATATTATCGTGTAGATATAGCAAATATGTATGTATAACATACTACATATACTCGGAAACTCAAGGTTCACGAAAAGGACACCAGCAAATATAGGACCCCCATCGCTCACCACATTTTTGTACAAAATGATGGATGATAAAAGTTGAGGGGTGTCGCTTGAAGGAAAATTATGTATGTGCACAGGTATGACATAACCTTCAAATGGGGTGTTGTTACTTGGGAAGGTCCCATCGCTTGCCTCCTGTTCCTACAATTTCTGCAATGTCCGTCCCTTGCATGTTTCCTATTGCAGCTCTTTTTTTTGCGGGGGGGCTCATATATTGTTGCTCATTACATATCATATCCTCTTTCCCCATAGGTTGTTATCTAAAACATGATGGATTTAGACTCGGATATCAACATGACTATGTCTATAAGTTGCTCTCGTAGAGTTTGCTAGTATATGTTTACACATATCTATAATAAATAATACTTATTAAAAACACTAATAAACAAGCCCAAAGTTTACCATTTTTATAGGTTGTATAAACCATCAACATATGGGTGGTTTATGACATTATGCTTTAGGAAATAGGTTCATCATTAGTTTTTTCATTGATATCTAATAGAATCCAATAGAATCCAATAGAAGCATTCTTTCGAGTAGATTCTTGACTCAAAAACCCATGGTCCAATATAACTTCCTCACATCATCGCGTAGATCATCGCCTTTTCACAGGTGGAGGAAAAGAAGATGGGCACAGGAGCAAGACCTTGGAGGAAGCGCCGGTAGCTGAGTCGAAAATTGGATGGATCTGGAAAACATGGATGCAACCATATACACACATATATATATATATATATTGATATATCTTGTGACATGGGAATATCGTAATATCTATATTATGACTATGAGATGTTATGACATGTTTGGTGATTTTGAGTTTCTGCCATAAAATAAGCCATCATCTGTGATGACGTCGGCCTGTGAGGTCGTTGGTAGCTGAAAGGAATTGCGCCTTCGGCCTATCATTCTGATCCCACATTTTATTCTGAACGATTTTGGAGCAAATCTATATTTTTTCACATCAGTCAACACAAGTCCTCCCTGCGAATTCCCATAATATACATATATATATATATATACACTGTATATATGTATATATGTATACATGTACATATATAATTAATTACAAATATATGTATATATATATATATATGTAAATATGTGTAAATATATGTAAACATATGTAAATAGATGCAAATATATATATATAATGGATTACATATATATATATATATATATATGTGAATATATATATATATACACATGGACGTTACCATTCCCCGCACCAAAGAGTCATCATGGCCAAGCGGCGCATCAAGGAACCATTCCCCGCGTCCTGGCGTTCACAACAGTCCGACTTGGGTCCAATGCAGTGTTTTCTTTCAAAAAAGGGAAAGAACTATGTCCGACTGTCACCTTCCATTCACCAATTTTCGATGAATTTTACCCTTCGCGCTGAATCAGCCAGGCGCAGACTTTGTCATAAGGTCCGAAACCCATAATTTTGAGCACCACATTGCTGATGCTTTGATTTCCACTATAGTCATCTATAGTCGTACTGTAAATATGTCTTTGGTGAATCTCCCCAGGTTCTTGCCGTTTTCTCGGGGAATTCCGCAACGACAACAACAACGCTCCGACGGCGCCTGGCTGGTGGATTCAAAGCGTGGCGAAGGGCTGTTGTTCTGCACGTCCTGGCGCTGACCGTGTTTCATGTCTGTAACGGTGATGCAAAATATCATACTCCCCATATATTGACACACAAAAATGCCATGTATGACCGTATGTAATATATATATATATATTATAATATTATGTCGGAATTATAATCTATCTACATACATACACAATAATATAAGATTGCACAATGATATATTAAATATATACATAATTATCATATATCACATATTGTGATTAGATAACGCCCGTCCTTCAGAGATTGGGCCACGTTGCCTCCCAGTCCAACGGAGGCATGGCGTCCCTTGTCCTCGCGCAGTGCCCGAGACCCATTCGGCTACTAACATTGGGCACGAACATTAGGAATAATTTCGGAATGACACCTGAAATGGGACAATGATACCATGTTCGAATCCATCGGAAGCATATGATCATTACTACCTCATGATGGGCACCATGGCCACGATCATGGGGGGGATACGAACATCTGCTTGGTAATCATGGGGAGAACATACTGGCTCATATGGGTTACTAACTATATAGATAGATTATATATATATATAGTAGTTATTTAACTTACATCAACTTACTGACTTACTATCTGGTTACCAAAACACCACTCTACCAGGTTTGAGCCGCAAAGAACGAGATGACTTGATGCAGTCCTGAAGCCATGCAGCACAGCAATGGGGATATCAAAGCACTAATGCTAGCTAATGGATAAGACCGGTTGTGGATGGTTTGAACTTGAACACATCAAGATCAGGCTAGGGTAGTGATATGTAGAGAGATCTATCCAGCCAAAAAGGAAAATATTCACCAACCATCACAATTTTATACAGGGTAAACACTCACTGGGGCCGCATGGATGAGCTGGGAACCATCTGTCCCGACGAAAGGCGTTGTTGTACCCTCGATGCCACCAATTCCAGAAGCGGACACGAATATCGGCACCATCGTAGCCTGCGACGAAAAAAAGAGGGCGGTTTTTTCAGAGATAAAAAAAATGGGGATGGAAATGGGCTGTACGTCTTCCCAAAGTGGCTTAAAGACCCAGTGAATGGGTTGGAAATCCAACCCGTGAACATGTTTTGTGTGGTATCATAGTGGTCTCTGGAAGGGACCCATCTTGTATCCATGTCGCGACAACTCCTAACGCATTCAACCGCGAAAATGGTGGTTTCACTAGAGGCAAAATACACATTTTTTCGGTTGCTGAGATCCCGTATCTAGTGGTGAAATTGGGCAAAATAACATTGATATTATTGCTGCTTAGAGTAGGTATCTTGAATGAGCTCATTCTGGGCGAACAAACGCTGTTTCCCACATTCTTGGTGAACGAGTCCTGGTTGAATGGTAGTGAGGCAATTCCAGGAGAGCCAAATTTGGATGTCTTCATGCCATTACTGTATGATCCTAACCATATATGATAGTATCATAATCATTCAAATATATTCAAATGAGCACCCGCACGGGCCCTACTGGTTAAACAATAACAACAGTGAAATTTACTAGTATCTTATTATACGAGGGAATATTTGGTTACTATCTGGCAAGTTAACCATATACAAGTATCTACCATTTGGTTGACACACTACTTTTAAAAAGTAATGCTTATTATAATATGTATATGTATTGTATATGTATATACAGTTATACATACATCCAGCGTAACTAGTATTTTTAGAACCATTGATGACTTCCCCTTCCCCCATGGTGCATCATTTTCTAAAACGGCCTTCGCAGACCAGCAAGGAATCTGCCAAGCACAGTGCCATGGAGGTGTCATCTGTCCACCTGTGGAAGTAGTCAGAAAATGGTTGGAACATCTGGTTGGAAAATATAATTGGAAAATATCATTGGACATTGTAAAATATGGTTGAATATATGTATAATATATATATCATATTATATATATATATGATTATATATATGTATGATTATTTTTGGTCTATTTTTGGTCTATTTTTGTTAGATGTTGGATTTAGTGCTTTCCACTGATTCGATGCCTTGGCTTCCATGGACAACTGGACTGGGTCACCGAGGCGACCACTGCCCAGGCTTCAACTTGAACTTGTTGAAGCTGCCTTCCACCTGCTGTGACATGGCAAAAAACAAATGGAAGGAAGGTATTGAAGTTGAAGGTATTGAAGGCATAAAGGTATTGGAAGAAAAAAATGTTGAAGCTGCCTTCAATTCCGAAAATTTCCTTTTTTGAAGGCAGCTATTGAAGGTGTTGAATGAAGAACTCCAGGAATTTGTTCCAAACCTTTCCAAGATTTCTGACTTTGTTTAGTCGTCCATGGCCTTGAGAATACTGCCCAGTCACCTGTCCCGCCTTTCTCAACTGGGCTTAAGACCCAGGTGACCCAGTCGATTGGGAGGGGAAAATTTACAGGACACAGCCCGTAGTGATAGGGAAAATCATGATTTCCCCCGAAGAATGTGCCTGAAAAATCATCCCAAGGATTGGATTTCTGGTGGTGAATATCTCATGTTTGATACTTAATCTCTGTTTGATTAAGGTATGGGATAATCTCATGTTTGATACTTAATCTTATTGAATATTTAATCTCATGGTGGTTAATCTTCTCTGTAAATCCATGTGTAAATGGTATGGGCAGCAGCCCCTGCCTTGAGCGTTTGCGGGTTGAAGCGTGAACCCTGGCGATCTGCGAGCGTTTCCTGTGAGAGTCCTGGGATATATTGCTATGGTTTAATTCTCTTGAAACATGGGTAACAACGAAACAACAAAACATGTCATTTCTAGGGCGGTATATTGCATAATATCATAATATGTATATAAGTGTTTTTTAAAGGGGCGTGTAACTTGAGCCCTGCCCATGTAACATTGACCGGACTATTATGTGATTGGCCAGAAAACATCGCATTGCTGTTCATGGTGCGAAGACACATTCTTCATCTTCAAGGTAGAAAAATATGAACCACACCCCTTCATCGCATCTTTTGACGGATGAGCATTGTTCATGTGCTCCCACACTGGAAACAAATATCACCATCCCATAGATTGTAGAAGATCTGAAGATCAACCCCCTATCATTTCCAAAGGGGGAAGGATCAATACAGACAGGAACGGTCCTCAAAATGTGATCCTGATCTGGGCACTTACATCAATCCCATGTCCCAGCTATTTTAGGTGTGAAAACCTGGTATTTATTTCCATGATTCTGGTACCACTGGTACCAATGTCCTTGCCATCAGGGATTTTAATTCCCCAGATCTGTCCGATGCCTTCTTCCCCACAGGCAAAAACTCTAGGAAGGCGCCCACAGAATCTGCCACTGCCATGCCAACCATAGCACCCATCTCAGCGCACGGCAACCCTTGAGATCCCTTGAGAATTCACCAACAGTGGGAACATCAGATCTTGGAGACTGGATGAATCAAGCTGGTTGTACACTGATGTCCCGTTACTTACGTGTACATCCCAGTAAAGTATCCAAGTATAAATGGTTGGTTTATGTTAGTTGAATCTCCCGCCAACATTGCTATGTCACCAACCTTTGAGGGTTGAATCCATTTTTTTTGAATGTTCAAATCCCATTATAATGTGCCATTTCAAGATATATTCCCATTTTCGAACAAAGCACACATCATATTGTTGTTGCTTGTCTGTCCCGTAAAATATACCCATGATGTCCTATGATTCGGTAGTTGAATTCACCATTGACCCAAACAAAAATATTGTATATTAGTCACATAAAACCCAAAACAATCCTCATGCCAACATCAGATGGCTAAATCCTCAAAGTGTGATGGTTAAAGCCCTAGTGTGCATGGTTAAATCCCTTCAATAATTCGTTATATATAATTATATATATATATATTATATATATACCCATCAAAATTGCTTGTTTGCATTAGTTCACCAATTTTGATGGTGAACCCCCCAACTGGTCTTTAAGAAAACAACACATTTTGTGATATCCCCATAAAATATACGCATCAGCTGGTTAAATCCTCCATGTTTCACCAATTTTAGCGGTCAAATCGTTAGATCATCGCAAAATGGGTATAATTGAGACAATCATGATATTTTAGCTCTAGATAAAGTATGATAAAGTGTAAATCCCACTCAATGCTTCCTTAAGCACCTCATTCTACCCTAGAAATGAAATCGCGAAATGCTGAGGCAACTGACCGCTCGGACAGCATTGGGCTCCATGGATGCCAGTTGCAGCACCTGGAGAGGGGTCAGAACTGGGGATTTCTTCATAAAATATGAGGATCTTTGATGAAATATGTTGGACACCTGTTTCCAAAAAACCACCAGCAGATTTTTGGGTTCATGAAATATGATGAAAGACGTCTGTGGTAATACTCGTATTTTGTCAGAACGACTTTTTCACCATGTAGGTGTTCGCCCAAAGACATCGACCTCATCGGACAGAAGTGCGGTAGGAGCTGGCGTGTCACTGCCCATATCCTCCGGTAATTTAACATAGCTACGGAAGCCAGACTTATAGATTATTTACCTATTAATCATTGTCATTTTCCAGGGCAATAAGTGGGTGAATATTTCCATGGCAATAAGTAACCATAAGTAACCTTGTCCATTTACCTCCTATTAATCCTTAGGCCTATATTGCCAGAGGTAATGGACCATAACACGGCACCCACGCGTCCGGCCTCCCTCTTCAAGTCCGGAGGAACGGTATCGAGGATGGAAAACTGGGACGTATCAGGTGACATACAGCCTCGATGCGGCGAAGCGACAAGGATTTGTGGTCACAGCTACCTCTGTTGCGATTGGCCAATCCCTTAAACCACCAAAAAAAGACATATGAAACATTATAAATATTAATATAATAACATAATATAATTATAAAGACGCGCCCCAGAAAACCTGGTTTGGACAAACAGACTTCAAAAGAATCTGAGGGTTTTCAACTACAGAACTACACTTAACTTGGCATCCCTGCCCACATCTAATCTGTCGCGACCTCTGAAGCGGCGGCCCGGGATCGGAACCCAACTGTTCTGGTTCCCTCAGAAAGCTCACTATCTTTTTGCTTGTAACGTTTCATGGGATTCTGGAATGGTCATCTAAAATCTAAGATCATTTCTCACCTGTATGATCTTAAATATACTAAATGATCATACTTATCATTACAGGTTAAACAAAGTTAAATATAAATATCATACGGTTACTAAATGTCATCTTTAACCAGTTGATTAGTTACCGTATGATATTTTTCAATATTCAACTGGTGTCTGATCAACTGGTCACAACCCAACTTCTGGGGCTATGGCAGTGGGCCAGTTAAGCCCATGAAGAAACAGCAATATTGTCAGTTATATATCCCATATTCCCATATATTCCCATGAGATTTCTCGCGGTAGTCCCACTAAGTAGTTATAATCTCCCAATAATTACATGATTATACACAGAATTGTACCGATTATAGTAGTGAATTACCAAAGTTACACTACAGTTACTACCAAAGTTATAGCAATTCCCATAGAAATGCCCATAGTGCCCATAAATTATGGTAAGAACTATATATAGCTTTGGGTATAACTTATGGTATAACAAATGGGTAGAACTGGTATCACTATGGTCATTAATGGCATAGTACCTATAGTACCCATTAAATGGTTTCGTATTTGATTATAGTATTTCTTAAAAATAAAACCATGGTTGGCTTACCATATTTGCTATGGCTATCCCCACTAACTATAGTTGACTATATATATATAACTACTATAGTTATTGCTAATTGATGCTAATAGCATTGCCATGCCCCATAGTTATACACATAAGTAGTCATAACTATCTATTTTATAGTTAGTACATATGAACAGCCATGAAAAAATCATTAAACTATGGTACAGTAGTGGCCATAACTCAAGTATAACTAGCTATACCCACAGTGTCCTGTGTGCCGGGCAGAGAAAGGTCGCTGCACGCGTGCCCTGGTTGAACAAGGTCTCCTGGAAGAGTCAAAACCACATGGAGATGGATCAAATCCATTCAAAACCTATGGATTTCTGGGGTACTGGAGATTCATGGGGATTAGTGGCAATCGAACCATCAACAAATAGCGATATGATGATCCCTGAGATATATACCTGTACATACAGATATTTAGGGCGATGAACATCTACAAACTATTTTGGTATGAAAAGCAGGGTACCAGGCTTTTGACCCATAGCCCAATCAGCAAAGAAACCAAGTGGCAAGGCTCCAATTTCAACACGGAAAAAATGCGCTGCAACGGCAAATACAAATAGGGTTTGAAATGGATTGGCCCAAAAGTAGCTAGTATATCAATAAGATTTAATAAGTATATACATCAACATTTCATAATGCTTTGTCATCACCTTCTGTGTCTAAAATGGCAACCTTTGGACAACCATATAATGTTTTCTCGGGCAATATACCATCAAATCCAAGGGTTGGATATTGATAGTTCCATGTTTGATGGTTAAATCTTCTCATTTTTCAGGACAAAACCCATCTTGAAAGGACCCATCTTCAGCCCATCTTTGTTGCTGCAGCGTCCTGAATGACTTGTAGTGGTGCATCAGGAGGTAAGGGAGCTGATGGTTGGCCTCAGATATATACCGATCTATCCATCTACCCTCCTATAAATTTGATACAATCCATTTCCAAGACACCATTCACAGAAGCACACACACAATATTGGGGAGCATATATACATATATTATCAGATATTTGTACTCTATGGATCCAAACACTTCCTTCGAAGGTACGTACTTAAAGTCCTAAATCATACCCCAAACACTTCCCAAGAAGGTATAGCTGGATGCAGAGGCCTCAGAGGGATGGTATATCCATAGGGATAGATATGGATAGATAGTGTTCATATATCCGAAAAAAGACATTTCTCAATGTATGAATTCCAGTGGATGTATCGTGGCTTCGACCTGGGCCCCGTTGCGAGACTGAGGCAAACAGCACCAGCCCTTCGCCTGGCCATGAGGGGTTTAAGTAAACCATCAATACGATTACTCACAATAGAGCAATAGGGGAGCTAACTAAAGCAATTGAAAGAACATCAATTACCAGCATCACCAGCCCCACTAAGAATAGTAACCATCAAAATAGCGGTTTCACCATCCAAAATGGAGGGGTTAACATGCGGACCTCCAAATGACTAGGGGCCATACAACCATAGTTTCTAGGGGTGGTATTTCATTTTAGTCTGGAAGAGATTGTCAATCTATGGCACCAACGCAGCCAATAGAAGCTAACTTGAGAGATACGCTTGGTTAGTCTAGGGTTTCCTGGGTTTCCGGAGCTCAACTTGTCAACATGCAACTAACATCACCTAGGGATTCTTCATATTTCTTCAATTGTTGAGGACCATAAACATGGCGTAAGTACCGGCTGTTTCTCTGAGAAATCCATGGTGCCAGCGTTTTGACGCATCCATTTATGAACCCTATGGTTTATCATACATTCAAATCATTTGTTGAATTTGTCCAAAAATGATGCAAAATATAGTTGGATGGTTGCTGGTAAACTGGTAATTATTCCATTTGCAGATGGTTCCAAACACTCAATAAAACATCATGAAACTATTTCAATTTTACCAACCATCAATTTTGACGCTTCCCCCAACACTTTTCCGTTGATGCTTGGAGACTCTCCCCCTAGTGTGCCTTCACCACCTCAACCGTTTTCGTTCCACTCATTGACACGTGACAACGTTGCGCCCGGTGGCGACCCCCAGTGGCCGGGATATTTGACAAAACCCAGGAGCCACACGGGGAAATCTCCCGTCACGGAATTGATTTTTGTGTGTTTCTGGAACAGATCGTCGCTGAATGTGAAATGACCATTGGATGCGTAACAGATTCGCGTTGGATCCCTTATAAGACATTGGTCAAGAGTGTGCTTGTGAGGATTGGTTCATTGTTTCGGGCTCTTTGAGTAACTCAGATTTTTTTTATGTGTGTCTGAACATAATTTATATCACAATTAGTATATCTCAACCAGCCATTGGAACCTATAGGGAACCTATGCTAAGCCATTGGATTTGGGGGTACTCTTCCGACGGTCTGACGTCGTGGAAACAGCTGCAAGTTGCCGAAGTGGGAACACGCTGCCCAAATTCGAACATCTACATCCCCTTTACCGTGAAAATGTGGGCTCCCGGCTAATTTTCCCTGAATCCAAGTCTAGAAATGAAAAAAAACAAATCTCACGGCTGATGATTTTTCGTTTTTACATTTTTCAAAGGACCCCAAAAACCATGGCCGACTCTGCGACACATTGAGGAACGGCTGATGCCGTCTTTCTTCTAGGATCCCGGCCATTTGGAAGCACCATGCTCCAGCAGCAGCATCTGCGACCGCTGTTCTAGACTTCGTGTGGGTGTTTTAGAATATGGGTCTGTCTGAAAAAAGGGAAAATGGAAGAAAATGGTCATTTGGAGGATATACATACCCCGTTTTTCCAAGCAAACCCATATGTGACCCTTTCAACTTCCAAATGACACGATGCGCACAATTCTTGCAAGTCATGAAACGTCGATCTCAACTTTTCCATCTTGCTGATGTGATACCACGTGAGGAAGCAGGAGTTCAACCGCTGGGTTGTTGTATTACTGGGGCCCTGAGACTTTCCTGTCCATTCCTGTCCTAGGCGAACAAAAAGGCTTTTTCCATGAGATTTCCCATGGATTTCCCATGGATGAAGTTCCCAGGCGACCGGCGGGATCTGCCTGACCATCCTCCTTCATCACTCTCCGCATCTCCTGTAAGGCCTGCAGTGGCCCTTCTTTGATGAGAATATATATATATATATCATATCATCATAAGAATAGTAATACTATGATACTAAAATAATATGCTTAAATGTGCTTTTAACATGTTTTAACTATTGAGTGTTTCGAATGTTTTTGTGTGTGTTCTTTCAAATTTTGTTTTTCCATGGTATACCATGGTTTTTCCTCATCTTTTTTCACAGGCAAATCCAAGCCACAGATCGCAGAGACTCCAGCAGCGTCACCATTGGTTGTTGATTGCTTCTCAAATTAATATCAAGGTTCTTCATCAAGGTTTGTTATATTGTTTTTCTCAAAGTTGTTTGTTACGTGTGATATCAGAGGTGCTGAACCATTTCTATATTGATGGCTGACCATTGTTTATCCCCTGGTGACCTGGAGATCCAAAATTTGGGACTCTTTCTTCTCCGGAAGATGGTCCAAAATAGACTCATACCCAACTACAAATTAAGCCGACGACAAATTGATGTTCGATTTTGTGTATTCATACACATAATACACATATGTATGATCTTAATTTGGGGGGTTTGCTTCGGGGTATGCTTCAGGGGTATGCTTCCGCAAGAGCGCCACCCTCCACCATTACATATCTGGTAGCGCGCTTGAAAACACTAACCCATATATATATACATATTATATATATTATGTAGTTTGTTTTATAATCTATCATTCAATCTATCAATTCTATCAATCTATCTATCAATCTATCAATCTATCCATCTATCTATCAATCTATCAATTTATCTATCAATCTTTCAATCTATCAATCAATCTATTAATCTATCAATCTGGTAGCGCGCTTGAAAACACTAACCCATACATACATATATTATATATTATGTAGTTTGTTTTATAATGTATCTATCAATCTATGAATCTATCAATCAATCAATCAATCAATCTATCTATCTATCTATCGATCTATAAATATATAGGTATGTATGAAGTTCCTGAATGCCAAATCAGCAAGACTGACTTCTCTGGTCACCCCAACGTCCTCCCCCTTTTTTTGTCACCTGTACCGGCTGCTCGAAGGAGCATATCCCGAAGGTGTCCACGACGGTGTCGAAGGATCCGTCCTGGAGACATGGGAACCCCCTATGGGAAGCTTGTGGGATCCTGGGAATGGGCGTCCCATCATTGGGGTGTCACCGTTTGTACCCTTTAAAATGGTGTTTTAGATCGTAATTTGAAGACTTTCACCACTTTTTAGGAGGTATTTGGAGAGTCGTATAAATTCCATCAACCAGGCACTTGAGAACCAATAAACAGACATATGGGCATGGATTATTCCATATGTAGGGGGGATGCATATACCCGTTTACCAGCTTGTTTGATGTGGACATCAGGGTACCAGGGTTTTGACCCAGAACCATCACTCAGAACTGCCTCAAACAATAATACAAGGCCACCTCAACACAATTTAACTGTTGCCAGCTTTTCATATAACGTGTGCTTAGTTTGGTATTATTGTATGGTATTGTGGCATTGCAGGACCATCTAAGTCCTAAATGTCTACAGCCTCTGAACGACCAATCAACCACATCAGGAATCACCATCGCATGGTTTTAAGTCCATGCAGTCCCAGCTTCCGAGCACAGTGTGAAAGTGAGATTCTTGCGCAAACAAATCTAAATAGTCAAAAGCACCTACCGATGCATTGTCGATATCTTCATCTGGTTTGTCTGAAAGTAGGACACCCAAAAAACCAATGGTTTTCAGCCTCATTTTCCCAATCATGTTTGCTTTGTGGCCATTTCGGGGCTACATGTCTAACACCTCCATGTGACAGACTTGCCATAAGGGCGTCATGTTTTTCACCGGAAATCACCATGTCCCCACTCCCCACCTCGAAATCCAGGCGATGCGTACTCGCCAACTTCAAGCGCAAAGGGATAGGCTGACAAGCGCTGCCAACTGCTGGAAATGAACAATGAACATGTGTGTCTGAACATTTGAGGATATAATATATGATATATATATATATATGTATGATAAATAAATTAATATATATATATACACATAATTATATATAACTAATGGCAATGAGGATGTATTGAACATATAGATACAGTAGCACAGTAGTACTACGTATGTAGTACTGCTATCATCTCATTGGGGAAAATCCTTGGCCCATGACTCTGGATGATAATCGCTCAAGGGGCCACGCATGTTTGTCATATTTTGCTACTCGACCATCAATTGTTGTCTGACTTGACTCATGTCCAAAATGTGTCTAAAAATGAGATTCTATAACTCAGAAATTTCAAAAAACTGCTATTTCAATGAACAGAATGATGATTCAAAACCATCAAACTTCGAATTTACCCCCGAAAAAATGAGACATCCATCACTTGAAGTACTGAGTACTGTGTGCTGGATCAGCTGGCGGGCGGGCAAAGTGGTTTTCCGCACCTCAATCTCCTTGCGTTTCTCGTCCGCCACCTGTGCAATCATGTGCAGAAGTGCAGAATGATGAAGAAAAACAAGATGGTCATGCAGAAAAAGAAGTGCAGAACTAGGGAACATACAAGTATAGTGATGATGCTGCTGCTGCTGTTGATGATGATGATGATGATGATGATGATGACGAGATGATGATGATGATGATGATGATGATGATGGTGGTGGTGGTGGTGGTGGTAATGGTGAGGGTGGTGATGATGATGATGATGATGATGATGATGATGATGATGATGATGGTGGTGGTGGTGGTGATGATGATGATGAATTTATGATGATGATCATGGTTGTATTTCCCTTTGGTTTGCATGCACAATAATCAAGTCCAACACCGCTGTTGATGAGAATGGATTCCAGAGGCACATCAAACACACCTGAAAGTCTCTCAATGGTTTGTAGCCCCTCAAAAAAAAACAATGATATGGGGGTTTCCATAAATGGGGGTATCCAAAAATGCTTGGTTTATGGAAAATCCCAAACAAGAATGGATGACTGGGGGTACCCCTATTTCAAACCATCCCAAGACCGGCAATGCCTCCAACATGGCTCGACTGAAATCCACCGCAGTGATTGCAGTCACTTTGCCACCGTTGTAGTACCTGCAGGCCGATCTTATCTTGGCCATCCGTTTGAGACAAAAATTGAAATTGCTAGGTCGCTTCCCAATTCTTGAACCATGCCAATGCATATATAATAGAATAGTTATGTAATATCCAAAACAATCTGAAACACCTGTTGAATAGCTTTGTACCACAACTGCTTCGCCATTGTTGAACTATTCATTCTGAAGCAGTTGGATAGCATAGAATAGTGCGCCGTCAATCAGTGACCCGTATGCACCGAAATACAGGTCACGAGAAGTTCCGGCCGCTACCCACAGCCACTTCCAGCACTTCACCTTGGGCAGCTTTGCCAAGTGAAGAATCACTGAGACTATAACGTGGTAAAACTCATAATCATGGGATATAGTAGGATATGGGATATTAATAGGATAACATGGAAAAAATCTGGGTTTGGAGAGTTATGGAATCACTATTACAATAAACCCTTCAATATGAAAGTGGATCATCCCATATTTAAGAACCACATCCAAACGTCAAAACTGATTACAGTATATGAACATCTTGACTTAGCTGTAAACATATTCCCCATGTTTAGAAGGAACCACCACATGCTACAATGATTCATTCTGGATCATTCAGGATGATATTTCTAGTTGTTTGTGATGATAATTTCTTCCCAAATTCTCCAATCACTTTTGTTTCTTAATTGTGAAAACCATGGATAGACATTCCATCATTCTAGAACAGTTATATAGCATGGTTCATTCATAAATGCTTCAGGATATTGTAGCTTGTCACCACGACTGCAGCTTCTCTCCCACCCCCAAGTGCAGCCACCGGTGGCTTTTTGTATCAACCGCCTGCGACAGAGTAATGTTCAAGTGAAGGAAGTCCCAGAACAATCCAGGAACAAACAGATTGGGGGGGTCATAAGCATATTAAAATAATAGAATCAAACATAATCTATACATAGTCTATACATAAGATGTGTCATTATATTGTATTATCTATTGGGTGTAAGTCTGAGGGCAGTTGATACTAGCTCTGATGTTGAACCTGGTGTTGAATATTGCTTTTGTCAAACAAAGGGTGCCTCTAACCCCAGCCGCCCATCCTGCGCAGTTTACCAATGCCAGCCAGAAATTCATCAGATCGGACCTCAAGGGCAGAGAGTTGGCATGGACCCAATGGGGACCAGTTTGACCTTTGATGCAGCATCGCAAAGTACCAGTTTCAGAGCTAAGAGAATTGAAATAACTTGAGAACTTGTAGCCACTTCCTGAGTTGCAATGCTTCTGCCTCAGAAATTTCGCAATCTGAAATCATATCATCAAATCAACACTACACACACTACCATGAGCGGCAGCCACGTTTTTCATTTCGACAATGCTTAAAACATGCAATTTCTCGAGGGTGTCTAAATCATTCACTCCATCTGAGCAGTACGCAAGTCAACTGCACCAGCTGTACCCCGCACAACGCATCCTTGATTTTTCAGGAATAGAAAAAAGAAGCCGCTTCGAAATACCAAAAAATAGGTATGGGTCAAAATCCCTGGCAGCCTGGTGACCCCTGAAAATAACTATAGACTATAGGATTTAAGGATGCTCATATCCAAAATTGGGCATTGCATCGGTACCCATCCCCCAATCCTCCAGCAGCCAAGTGCTCAAGCCAGAACGTCCCATTTCTTCGCCTTGGTCGGAGGGACTTTCCTCTACAGCTGGATAGCTTCTGCTCCACAAAAACTGGAGAATTCGTGATTATTTCATCATACCTCACTGGTAGCTAAGCCATGCTAAGCCTAGTTACGTGATGTTCGTTCTATGTACAACTGGTTGGTGGTTTCAACTCCTCTGAAAAATATGAGTTCGTCAGTTGGGATGATGACATTCCCAATATATGGAAAGTCATAAAAGCCATGTTCACCACCAACCAGAAAACCTGTCATCATTGACATGGGCCAACGGCTGTTCTGTCCTGAAAGTTCACCACGTGCAGTGTCCAGGAAGCCAATGCGATCCACATCAAAATTGAACCCCGTCCCCAGCCACTGCCCACAGATTTGGGTGTGTTTGAACATATTCAGTCTTCAACGATCACGTCTACTTTGTCTTTTAGCCTCTTTAAGTAAAGCAGCTTTGTTATTCTTTGTAAACGGTGAATCTAGACAATCTATAGTAAAATCGAAAATAATGAAAACTAAACCAGGGCCTTTTTCAGCATCTAGAAAATTCAAGTCTTTTTTCTATACTCTGCAGACTCTGCAGATATCTCTGAAACACACTGCATCTATGGTCCCGTCCACCCAGGGCTCCCGAACCAATTGGTCAAAGGTCTCTTTTCGAGCCTTCTCCGAGGGGCACGGCCTTGGCGAGCCATCATTTCACGGCATGGCCATGCGGCATGGCCTATCAAACTGATGTGATTTCCCAAAGAAACTGTTGAGTTAAGAAACAAAAACACATGGTAAGTGATATACCACTGAATAGTGATAAGTGATGATAAGTGATAAGTGATGATAATGGTTGATATTGGTTGATCCGCTAGTAAAATGATGAGACGTATTGAGGAGTGATATACCATTGATGCCCATTGATCTTAACGATGTTGATGGCTTGCATGATTTTGCCTAATATACAGTTTTTTTTAAAAAAAAAAACATAGCTGGCTGGTATTCAACCTCCAGCATGATAAATAAAGAACTAGCCAGATACCCTTCACCAGCGGGTCGACCCAGTTGTACTAGCTACACGTCCATTAAATCACCAAATCTCTTGGTAACTTCTCCCTTTCGCTTCTGTATGGTTGGCTATCCAGTGAAACGATGGTGGGATTTCTGTAACTGGTCTCTTGAGATCTAAGGAATTTCATCATCCCTCGCTTCTTAGCGCCCCAGCCATGAATGGCCAGCTCTCTAACCAAACCTCTAACCCAAGCAAGGTCGATTTCTCCAAAAACGCGGGTACCCGTAAGATCCAGTGGTTCAAAACTTCAAGATTTAACCATGCAACATCTTATATCCCCTCATATTCAACTGCCATCCCTCAAATGCCTAGCGCTAGCACCCCCCCTTATGCATGTAGAAAATTCAACATAATCCAACCATTAAACGCGTTAAAAGATACCCTCTGGTAAACCAACATAACTATGGACAATCACCATGTTTAATGGGTAAATCAACTATTTCTATAGCCATTTTCAAAAGCAAACTGTAAACGTTTACCAGAGGGTAACAATATTGTTGGTGAATGTTGGTGATATATTACATTCCATGATATTCCCATGAAATGAAATATTACCTTGTTATACCCATGAATCCCATGGAAAACCATCGCTGGGTCGTCGACTTGGGCTTCGGAGGCGATGCCAAGAGCTGAGTGGCCATGAAGGTGATGGCGCAGCCGCTCCCTGTGCCACCGACCCGAGAAAACATGCCATGGAACCGGCAAAAAATCAAGAATTGAAGAGAAAAAAAATGAAGATTCCACCAACATATCAGGGATTTGATATGATTTAAGATGATTTCATCAGATTTTAAGAACAATTTCAGGAAAACTATCAGGGATTCACACAACTAAGACATGGAGAAACCAAGCAAAATCAGTGTAAACAACTCTCAAAATGGTGGATTTACACAGCACTTTTGAATTTAAAACATACCATGGGATTTTGGTCCAGAATTTGAGACGCTTGCTGGGTGAAAGATGCCTCACAATGGAAATCTCCCACGTTAGGCCCATTAGGCCCACGTTATCCCATTTAATCCCACCCCACTAATATCAAGAAAATCCATGAAAAACCCTAATATTCATACAAATTGACCATTGATTCCTGGCTTTTAGGAGAAGCACGTTGTACCTTGATAAGTCCCATGGCCAGTGGCCACTGTCCATGTGGCCGAAGCCTGGCCTAAGGCACCGAGAGCCACCCGCACTTGGCTGGCCGAGGCCATTTTGCTGCGGCCCGAAGGCCAAGATGAGGTGTGATTTCTCAAAATTCACTGATTGACAAGAAAGAACACTTAACATGACTTAACATGATTTGACATGACTTAGCCATAGCACGACTTAATATGATTTACCTCATGACTTGACATGACGTAGCATGACTTAACATGACTGAATGGTTTGACCAACATTTGTTGGGTGGTTACCAACAAAGACGAAAACACATATGATGAAGTTCAATGGGTGTTTTTTTTACAATGTGGAATGTCCATGAAATTCCACGATTTTACAATCCAAATGCGCTGGGAGTTCCTATTAAGTTCCTATGAAACTATCATGGGAGGAACCTCATGGTCCGGTGCACTCTTGATTTTGTTTCAGTGCAACTCTTGTTCTGCAATATTCGGGATAGACGTGGGAGTGTATCCCTGTACATTCATCTTATACAACACGTCTATTTGTAGGATGGCGATGTGTGCATACAAGTGTGGCTTTCAAGCGTCAGTGCCTTTGCTGTCATGCGGCCATCTCGAACCTCTCAGATTAATGGGTTATATGGTTATGTTATGGGTCAAAACCTGGTACCTTAGGTGCCTCAAAATAGCTGGTTCTGGTTAATGGATGTTTTTTCCCCCACATATGAAAAAAGGTTTTGAGTTTTGACATGTTTTGGCCCATCCCCAGATTAGAGTTCTGGTTCGATGTTTTCTTCCCGACCTATCATCAGCAACGCTTCTTGACACATGTCTGAACCATCGGCCTTCAATGGCCTTCAGCTGAACATCGTGGACACCAGTCTGGAACTTGGACGGGATCACTGGGCTGACTGCATCACAACCATCTTGAGTCAACCAGCGTAAACCAATTATCAGTCACACAACTAGTTGAGCCTCGACCAATTGGGGGTTTCCATAATGAGGGTACCCCAATATGTTTGGTTAACAATGCAAATCCATCTATACATGAATGATTTAGGGGTACCCCCATTTTAGGAAACCCCCAGTTTGTGATCAATCCCACACAAAGTGTGGCAGGCATGTGCTTGGTGGTTTCATTGGTGGTCATCCAAACTGATGGATGATGAACGGACTGATTGACATCTCGGATGAAACCAACATATTCTTTGCCTAATCAGCCTTTTGCTGCACAAACCTGTGAAATTTGCGATGTTCACCATGATATTTTTTGGAAACCCATGGAGACCCTATTTCTATAGTCATTTTGGCCAACTCCAAATATTCTGCCAATCTGAAATGATGTAAAATTCCGGTGATTACCACCAAAAACAGACACATTCTAGTCACATGATAAAGTCATGCCAGGTCTTTTCAATATTTGCATATTTGCATTTTGCATATATTTGCCAGCCCATCTTCCAATAAGAGTCCGCCTACCAGTTGATCTAGCATTGAGACCAGGAATTTTTGTGCCAAAATACCATGTATCAGGACCCAGGTACCCTTGCAAACCTTCACAGCAGTATCAATGGTTTTGAATGGTTTTGACCTGTCCTCAAAAGGTAAACCATTATTTCACCACCAAGATGGGACCTGAACTCCCCAAAAGTAATGCTTGAACTCCAGAAGGTGCGTCCCCAAACCAATAGAATCATCAGAGCCATCCCAGAGCCATACTTCCCCACTAAGCGGTTGTAAAACTCCTTTCACTAATGTTTTGGCTGCGCACATGCAAACTGTTGCATGTCAAATCGGATTGAAACCAAGGCTGTCAGATGCTGAAGACCAAGGAGGCTGCACAGCCTTAGCCACAGCTGAGGTCCAAAGCCCACTGCATGCAGCTTGCGAGCCAAGGAAGCCGAGGCACCCAGACATACCCAAACCATCCCAAACCCAAAGTCAATAAAAGGCTCAGCGTCCCTGGATTTGGAGAAATTTTAAAATACATACCATAGACTTCGAAACTTCAACATGACTGAAACTTGTGAGGCCGGGGCCAAGCACGCATGACTCTGACGTCCTGCCAGTGGCGACTGCGCAACAGAGACGGGATCAGAAAGAAGTGCACAGCTTCAGCTCAGAACAACTCTGCCAAGTGCAGGCCATCTTGTTTTCATTATCCCACAGGGCTCAGGGCAGTGATTCATATTCTTGCGTCACAAGTGCGTTGTGAAGCTTGAGCTCTGCTAACCAATAGGCGGCCTCCGCCACTGATTTTAAGCTCAAAAGCAGTGAACATATAAATGAGAAGACTGCCACATCACTTGATGTAACAAACGGAAATGCGTAAAATTGAAGAAGAAGTTGCAGTGGTGCTTCTACCGACTTCTCAGAAAGCATGATCATCTCGAGGTCGTCGGTGGATTGGCTAATTTTCAGCGACTCGCAAGTCGCATTCCAAAGCTTCGAGATTGCCCCCCGGGAAAGTTGCTGAGACAGCGACGCGAAAAAAATCATGCCCGAAACTGCGGCAAAAATGTAGTTGCCGGTCAGAATATATTGAACAACACCATTCATGTCTAGCACAACATCGAGGTAGAATGGCACAATGGTCTTTCCTGTATAAGATGCTCTCTTGAGCCATGCTGCATCCATTTCAAAACACTGCGGCTCTTCCTCCGACGAGGAACGTTCCTGCAACGCGTCGTCGCTGCCCGGCACCGCTTCCGGCACCGCTTCCGGCACCGCTTCCAGCTGCTTGGAGCAGAAGGTGCCCAGATCCAGGAGTGCGGTGACAACAAAACCCAAACATGGAGCAACATACGTCATTGCACCTGACAAGATCAGTAGCCACTTCGGTAAAGCTTCCAGGGCGCAGTCTCCACCCGAGCCGTTGCAGTAGCCCCTACGGAACCACGGCATCTCCGAGAGGCAGCTGCTGTAGACGTCGTGACGCGCCAGACAGGAGGGGCTGCTGCCTCGCCACCACGTCTCGTAACGGGGTGTTTGCATCCAGGGCGGCAGCCCTTGGCAGCTGTGGCTTGGAGCCTGGTGGCAAATTTGTTCTGTATCGAATTTTTTCAAGGAATCATCGCCGTTGTCCATGATGAACCACACCATCATGGCCAAACGCAGCAGCCAGCTGCAGAGCCTGGTGCTCCGCGCGGCCCGGGGCCGGGAGGAGACCAGGCGGCTGCTGGGGAACAGCCAGAGTAGTGGAGCTTCCAACAGCTGGCGGACAGACAAATCCGTCACCTGTGTGGCAATGAGGAAGTGCAGCAGCAGGTAGACTGGAATCACATAGGCCGTGCTGTACCATGCTGCAAACATCACCACCAAATGAGACAGGATCTCAACCACAATATGAACAAAGACCACCCAGGAGCGGCATGTCCCCAGCTGTTCTGATACGGCTGCGGTGATTGCCGCCTTCTTTGCGGCAAAACTTGCCATGTGTCACCCCATGGTCAGGAAAACACGAATATCACAATAGCGAAATATGAAAAGTATCAAACTGACTCTTTGAGCTCAAAAACACTTGCAGATAAACATAGAATCCATAGGTCACATGGTTTCATACAACATACTGTCTCTGCAACTTCAACTGCGCTTTGATCCATGGTTTTTGGCGAAATGATGTGGGATTAGTATGGGTTAGTGGAGTGAAGAATCGCAAGCCATGGCCGTGACTATTCTCAGAAAAGACACTTGGCAAAAATCACCATCTGTAATAGACATTATTCGCAAAATTGGATGACTATAATAGATTGCGCAATCCTCCACACACAACGAAGGTTTAGTGATCGAACTGTCCAACTTTCAACTCTGATCAGGCTATGCCAGATTTATGATGACCAGTGGTTGGGATGCATTTTCCACTCGACGCCTTTGGCCACTGGCCACACTGTCCACCGTCCAAAACATGGGGGGCATGCAAAAAAAAGATGTGGTTTTTTGATCTGAACAACATGTGTTTGTTTCTCCATCTAAACACCATCCTGTTTTTCATGCTGTTTTTCCAAGGCTTGGTGGTATTAAATGGTATCCGGTATGCCTTTCTCCGACCCACGCGATTTCCCTTGCAAATTCCCAAGTGCCGAGCACCTCTGAAGCAGCACGAAGCCAGTGCCCTGCCAACGATCCACAGGTGCCAGGTAGTTCATCCACTTGCGTGGCAGATTCAGAGATACCCTGCAAACAAATCACAGATTTTCAGCTACGTAGTGTATACTATACCCTCTCATTGTCATCAAGTTTCACCCATGTTCATCCAGTATCATCATCCCTTATTATCATCCCGTATCATGAATTATCACCAATTTTCGTCCACTTATTGTTTTATGATCAAATGATCCCCAATGATGGTACCTGCAAGTCCATACAAATCCAACCATCAAAGTGCCATTCACCGGGCAGCCCAGTCTCATGCTGAAATATGTCAGAGGCATGCCATCTGCATATTGACCTCTTTAAGACTTGGAATCCACCCAGGCACAGCCCCTGAAAACATGCTACCACTGGACCCAGAAAGAACACGGGAAACTCGACTCTGAAGTTGGTAGGATGCCGGATCAAAGCACTGAATTTGGCCCGAAAAAAATTGGCTAAGTCTTTTTGAATCCATTCCTGGGCTAGAGCCAAACAAAATAAGCCAAAAGCAAGTTGCTGATGATTCAAATTATCCCATTTTTGATGAGTCCCTCTATGTTTCTGGGTGGGGGGGGCACACAATTAAGCCAAAACCAAACTGTTGATGCTTCAAATCCCCCTTCAAAACCTCTAGATGTGATTTAATTTGTAGGATTTAACCATCTTATATTTGGAATTATTTCAATTCATGTAGATTGGATTGAAGCATGTAGATTGGATTTACTTACAGCCAAACGTGTTTGAAAAGAACATTTCAACGACCGTGAAAGTGGGACCCCAGACTAAGCACCCATGACGTTCTGCCAGAGGTTTTTTTTCATCTCTTTGGGCTTACAACAATGGATCATATTGCGTCACAAGCGCATCGTGGAGCTTGAGCTCTGCTAACCAATAGGTGGCCTCCGCCACTG